GTAAGATTCAGGTTGGTAAGATTCAGGTTGGTAAGATTCAGGTTGGTAAGATTCAGGTTGGTAAGATTCAGGTTGGTAAGATTCAGGTTGGTCAGCTTCAGGTTGGTCAGATTCAGGTTGGTAAGATTCAGGTTGGTAAGCTTCAGGCTGGTAAGATTCAGGTTGGTAAGAGTCAGGTTGGACTTCAAAAAAATTCAGAGTAAAAGGGAGAGGAGAGGGTACTATATTCATCATATATTGTTGAACAATATGGTTATTAATATTTTCTGGCCAAAATACGTTTTCGTTCGAAACATCATACGATGATGATGATGATGATGATGATGATGATGATGATGATGACGAAGGAGAAGAAGAGGAGAAGGAAGAAGAAGGAGAGGAGGAGGAAGGAGGAGAGGAAGAAGGAGGAGAAGGAGGAGGGGAAGGACAAACTTTTGATAAAAGATTTCACGTTAATATATTAATTAATAATAATAAAGCATATTATAAAATATAAATATAAATGATAAATACCTTCTCCTTCACCCGCATCCATATCAATAAGCTGCTCGAACAGCTTGTAAAATTCCAAATTTTCGGATGGTTGTGAACTGCAATCACCACCACCAAAAATTTCTGAAGGAACCTTTGGGGAGTTCGAAGTCGAAGAAGGGTCATCTGGCCCGCTCCTGTCTTTGTTTTTTTTAGGAGTCGGACCTCTTTTCGTGGCCTGCACGGGAATGCACTCGTAACCATGGGACCGGCAATTCTTGCAAGGAACTTCCTCTTCGCATTTAGTTTTTTTCTCCTTACACTTTTGACATGCTGAAGTTACGCGAAAACGTATTATTTGAGATTTACGTAAATTTTTTTTTGGTTTTTTTGGGGGGGACATTTATTTTTTTTTAAAAAAAAAAGAAAAGCCAAAAAAGGTTATCGCTATCGAAGTTTTTTTTTTTTTTAAAAAAAAAAAAAAAGAGCCAAAAAACTTCAACGGCCGCAAAGGGATTTTTTTTTTTTTTTAAAAAAAAAATATATATATATATGTGTGGAAAAATACGTTTCTACTTCATAAAATATATCCAAAAAGGTTGTTGGGTTAATCCCGACAACTATTTCATTTTGACCATGAATTTGGAAAAAAAAAAAATATTTTTTTTCAAAAGGACTGACTTTATAAAAGGTGAAAATTCTTATCAACAGATCAGCGACAAAACGTCTTACACGGTCAATTGCCTAAAATGAGAACAATAACCTTTGTGGCTTATCTATTAGAAATCGGAATTTTGATCCCGCATCGAAACGCGTAATCATTCTGAAACCTTCTTGTTTATTCTTTATTGGATTACAATATCTTGGTCACAGCAGATTGGCTGACAAGATAATACAAAAAGTAATTTTGACGCATGCATATATATTTATTTATATTGTTTAATCAAGAAATTCTCACACAGGGTATCAAAAAGTTTATGAAAAAAGGGGATTTTCTCATAGTGATGAATTCACCAACTAACTATTAACGCAAATGTACACCCAAACGACGGAGTCTTGTCAACAAATTGGCGCGTACGGAGTTGCGACGGTTGTGACTTAATGGAGTTCAAATTCTTCCTTTAAAGATTGTCAACTTGCTTGTTTTGAACTGGTTAAAATGGTCAGGCTATGCATTGACGCCTATTCTGAGTCGAAAAAAGGAAATTGATTAATTCACATCCTGACGTTAAGTAAACATCATTTTGGATGTGAGTAATATTTGGAATGAAGATATCGTTGTGTAATCGTTACATGTGAAGGAACCAAGAGAAACTGATTGTCGGATCATATGCCTTGATATAAACAAGGTTTCAACCTTAAAAATTGATTAAAACCGATGACACGTAAACAATCCTTTACCACTTAGCAAATGACGGTTCACTATATGCAGTATCATCTCACAAATTCCATATCACTTGGCATTTAACAATAGCTTGAGTTTGCCTCTTTGTTGAGCTTGCTTTAATAAGTAATCTCATGATATTGCTAATCAATTTTCAATTTGTACTTATAAAGAAAGCATTAAAATCGCTCAAGATCAAAAAAAATCTTTTCCTGTTTATTTGATTCCTTGTAAATAATTAATGCCTTGAATTAATAAGATATAAACGAGAGGTACTTACTCTTTCAAAAAAAAATATAATCCGCTTAGCATACACCAACCTTTGATATGCATTTGATTTATGACACGCGCTAGGTACCTATTTTACGAAACGCGTCGCTCGTTTTTGGTCATGGCTTGACAACTTTAGCAATTGAAAGTGATATTATGTCAATGGTGTCATTATTGTCAATTAGTGTTTAGATTAGTTCAGATCGAATTTTCTGTGTGTTTCATTCTTGCATTCTGATTGGTCGATATTTCCTTATCTTTTTCAATCTAACTTCCATTTATATTCGGCTTTTGTTTTCATAAATGTTAATAATAAACAGGTTTTTTTTTTTTTTTTTTTTTTTTCGTGTAATAAAGATAAAATAGAATATTTGTCGGATAACCCGGAATTACAAATATACTTTGTGTTGTACAAAGAAGAAAGAAGCTTTTTTTTCACGATTTTATTTTTTTTTAAAAAAAAAACCTATGGTATGTTCCAATCATTATTGGGTAATTTCAATATCAAGCCAAAACACCATTGCATCACAAATTTTTTTTTTTTTGAAAAAATTTTATTTTATTCCATTGGTTCTTTATTTTCTTAAAATAACCAATAAATATACATGCATTCAATAATTTAAATTATAAGTTTGATAAAAAAAAAAAGAAAGTCATTCGCTATTAAAAATGCGTAGCTTAACTGCGGATGATCTTGACCATTCGAATGCCTCAAGATTTTTCTGAATAACTTAAAATAAATATATTGTTACACGATACTTGAAGGAAAAGAAACAGTGTAATATGTGAAATACATATAACACCAAATTATACGTCTAAATTAAATTCTAAAATCGTTTTTATCAAATTACAAATTAAATTATTAAAAAATTATAAATAAACGTCTTGCATATCATCATTCCCATTCATCATCCTATTTCCATAACAATTTCCATTAACTTGACGCCAATTGTCCTTTACTTTCACTTTTTGTTGTTCATCATCCAAAGTAAGTACATCCCATTTTGTTTTTTCCCAATATTTCTCTATATAAGCTACAATTTTTGAAACCGGTGACCGCTTTTGTTCTTTTTTTATTTTAGATCCAATTTTAGCAGCTTTTTCTTGAATTTCTTCACTTGATAGCACCTCTAGTAACGCCGAAAATAGTTTGTCTGTCGTGATCGCATTTGCTTGTATTCCTGTATTAGGAGCAACCCCAAGTCGATGTAAAATCGATGCCCACCAAGGTTGATCCGCAAAATGTGGGACCTTTATAAATTAACAAGTCATGTTAAAAAGTTCAAAAAATATTTCTATTCATTTTTACACAATTATAAAGATTTTTTATGCTCACCACAACCGATGGAACTCCGGCTCTTACCACAGAATGCGTGGTACCTGATCCTCCATGATGTACAACGCAGCAAGTTTGTGGAAATAACCAAGAGTGAGGAATGTGATCAATAATAAAGACGCGTCCACTTTTTATAGCATCGTCCAACTCCTTCATTTTGATACTTAATTTATTAAAAATAATTTCAAGTTAGAATGGAAATGCTTTAAATGAAAAACATATATCAAGACTTACTTTCCAACGTCCGAAAATAACGCTCTTTGATTTTGTGGTAAAAGGCTCATAACTTCCAGCCATATAAGCACTCGAGATTCTGCATCACTAAAACTGTGCATTGATCCATATCCGAAATATATAGGTCTCCTTCCTCTTGAAAGAAATTCTACCAGATCATGTGGAGGAACAAAATCTTTTAACTCCTCCTTGATATTTAAGGATGGATAATCCATCTGGATTTCAAGTGGATTTAGCCTATTAGTGATTAATGTAAAATGTCATAAATACTTAACTAAAATCTCAAATCTACATAAAAAAAAAAAAAAATTATTAAAACCTACGGATTTTTTTGGATTTGGATAAGATTCCTATTCAAAGCATGAATAACAGGAATTTGGTTCTTTTCAAAAGCTCCACCGGGCAACCACGGAAGCCTTTCTGCAGGTGGTAATCCTAGTTCTTTGAGTCTTTGATTATAAATCTAAATATATATTTTATGGGAATTATTAACTAATTTATTTCATAATAAATTGCACTTATAAAATTTTCCTTACGGGTAAAAGACCAACGTCCGACCAAAACGTGGCAACCTGATCCTACAAATGAAATTATTAAATATAAAAAAAAAACTTATTTCCCCTCCAGAGAAATTGAAATGACAATATAACCCAAATTTAAACATACGATAGTTTTCCATATCTTAACATTAAGTTGAAAAGGGAGCCACTGTAATGAGTCGAATGAACGTCCATAGGCAGCCTAATAATATATGTATAATGTTAACATTTGAAATAAAATTGCTTAAAATATTTAAATTTTTCATACCCCTGTATAACTTTTTGAGCTTGCCCATGGATAAAAACAAACATAAGCAGCAGGAACATTTCGAAAAAGGCACTATAAATAGGTAAATATATTATTAAAAAAAAAATTGCATTTAAATAAATCATCTAAAACATTTATTGTCCTTACTTCGGGATACATATATGCTGCACCTGTGCCGAGAACCACAAAGTCAACATTGTTCAAAACACTCTCAGAATTGCTAATAAAAAAAATTATAGCTTATATAAGATGACATATTATCTAATTAGATGTTCCAAGCTTTCTTACCTATATGATTTTTGAAATCCTTGTTTTAGGAAATCGAACATAAATGGTGATCCTAATATTGAATATGAAGAAAATCTAACCATCCGCCTGCCTACAAAATAAATACATACATAAATAACATTGTTTATAAGTTACGGAAGAAAAAAGAAAGAAATTCACCTGCATCGGTATTTTCCCATTCATGCTGCATATCCCACTATAATGTGCGTAATGTTAGTTAAACCATGATGATCATACACAATAAAATTATACATTAATTGTTAAGTGTTTGAACCATACGTTTACTTCTCTAAATGCGAAACCTTTTTCTTCCACAAATGATCGAAATCGAGTATTTGCAGCTATGATCACATTATGTCCATGTCGACGAAAGCCCACTCCAAGGTTTACAAAAGGAAGGACATCCCCCATGGATCCGATCGCTAAGTAAAAATAGAATTCAATAAAACTGTCTTAAATTAATATATAAATATTAAAAGAGATATCTTTACCTAGCAATAAAATATTCTTTGGTGTTTTCGAAGGTTCAACGTCACTTAAACTTGAATTGCTTGAAGTGGTCATTTTAAGGATAGAAAAATAAAGGTTTTGTAAAATTTTATAAAGAACTATTTATATAATTTTCGAACGCGTTGTTCTTTGGTTACCGATTTGGCGATCTGTTTGTATGTGATAATTTCCGTTAAACAGGATTTTTTCGGATTTTTAATCCTCACATTGGTTAAAAATTCTGCATGTGTCATATGAACATAACATGTATAGAAACTTCGAATAAGACTATAAATATACATCGAATGTTAATGTTGTAAATCTGGCCGGAATTATTGTAATAATAGTCATTAATATCACCATTTTGAGACTATAAGAAAAGTATTTTAGTTAATGCAAAAGAAAGAAAAGAAAAATTTTGAGGGGGGTAAAATTGTTTCATACTACAAAAAAGCAAAGCCAAGAGAAATTACTGCGGTGTGGCGACTAAGGTTTCCTTCGGAATTTTCCTAATCCGAAATAGTGGCTTAATATTGTTATGCATATCGGAAATTTATTTAATTTATTTGATTAAAATAATTTAGCTTGAAAATTTTGCTTGTTATACAAAATTATCAGTATATATTACTATTTTTATTCTTTGATTCTATTGTTTTGTAAATAAAATATAAGAAATTTTATCTAATTTCTGAATAATTTTATTATATTATTTATTAATTTTATTAATTTTCAAAAAAATATAATAATTAAGTTAGCTTTTATCTTTTATCACTTTAAATAGAAATTTCTATTTATATATAAGGTAAATAAATATTAATAACATATTAGATTAAAATTTCTTCATTTTCAAATTGCATAATAAAAATAAAATACAATAAGATATATTCATTTTAAATTTATATATTTTACATACTAATTTACTAAATTTTTAACATTTAATATATCTTGAATATTATTTTAAATTAAATTATATAATTGTATATAATAATTAATAAGTGTATTTCCCTTAGGACTATAATAAAAAAATAGCAGAATGTGCATTTAGAGAGGGTATGCATTTATAGAAAATAAAATATTAAAAGTTCTTATAAGTTAGAACTAAAGCCTACTATGCATTTAGAAAGAATTTACATAGAGTATACATTTATAGAAAATGCATTTATGAAGATTTCACTGTATATTTAAATAATAATAAATATAATTTATAAAATTTCTTACTAAAGTTAATAAAATCAAGATTTAATAATAGTTAATATATATATTACACATATTTGTTAACTTATTATTAAATTTTGTATTATCTTAAATTTAGCATATTTTGGTATATTATAAATGCTTTAAAGTCACATTTTTTTCTAATAAAAACTTAGTATAATCAATAAATAAATACTTATTTAAACTTAATGCAAATGTTTTTTATTTGTAAAAATTTTATTTTAACTTATATAAACATAACAAAAAATAATATATTTTATTATAAAATTAAAAATATTTTTAAACCTAATTTTTAATAGTAAATTAATTCTTAAATACCTTTGTTATCTTTAGTATTAATCTTTTTAAAACTCCTTTTATTATAAAAAAATAGTTTTTATTATATATACTAAAATTATTAATAATCTTTATTTTTAATTATAATAATTTATTTTTTATAGACTTTAAGATTTCTTTAAAATATATTATTTTTATTTACTAATACTTTTATTTTTTAATATAGAATATATTATTTAATTTAACTTAAATCTTATTTATATAATAATATATTTTATTTTTCTTTTATTTCTTTTTTTTAATTTATTTTGATTTAAAATTAAAAATTCTAAAAGATTTTTTTTTTAAATTAGAAATTTATTTAGCTTTTTATTATATTTATATAATAATTCATCTTTATTATATATATTTTTTATAATTTTTTTATGCTATAATATTATATTATTAATTAAAATTCTTAATATTTAATGATTTATTTATAATTATGATTTTAATATTTATTTAATTTAATATGTTATAATTTGTAAAATTGAATTTTAAAAAGTCTTTATTTTTTAAAATTGCATATTATATTTTTATTAAAAGGTTAAAGCAACCATTATTATAGCAAAAAATTCAATCTAATAATTCAGAAATCAGAAATTATATAATATATTGTTAACTAACCTTATGTGTTACTTGTAACTTATTAATTAGTAAAATATATAAAAAGCTAATAAGCTAATTCTTTAGTAAGAATAAATAATATGCAAAGAATTGAAAAATAAAGAGTTTTTTAAAATTAGATTTTATATCTTACATTACTTTAAATAGAACAATAAATAAAATATTTCATTAAATAATATTTAGTTAATAAGTTATTAAAAAATTTACAAAATTATCTAATTCTTGAATATGCAATTACTTTTATCCTTTTCTGATAAGTATTTTTAATTTATTAAATTAAAAAATAAAATTTATTTGTTTATGATATTATTTTACTCTTTGTAGAATTAATCTTCTTTTGACTAAGCTTTAAGTTTCTATTAAAAAAAAAAGGTAAAGAATTATTAATTTTTTTAATTAATTAAAATAAACAAAATTTACTTTTTTACTATAAGATTCATTTCTAATTTGATTGATCTAAAGCTTTTTAATATCTTTAAAAAGAATAAAAACAAATATTTTTTTAATTTATTTAATTAAAAAAATTTATTTATTAATAACATTATCTTTTTTTATAGAACTTATCTTTGATCTAATTAAATTATACTTATAAAAGAAAAAGATATTTAATGATTTATCTAATTTATTTAATTAAAAAATATAAATTATTAATAATATTATCTTTCCCTTTATAAGAATTTTAGAAAGGGTCTTTTCAAATAAATAATAAAAAATATATATTAATCAATATATAATATGTGTGATTATATATTAATCACTATATTGTAAGATAATTTTTTAATAGTTTTACTATGTAAATTTATAAGTTAAGTTAAATTTATAAATTATTATGCATTTATAAATATAACTAATTTAAAATTAAACTATTAGTTAAGCAAGCAAAATTTCATATAAAAATAAAATTTTTTATGATTATTATATAAATATAAATTTAACCTTTATATTATTTAGATTCCATTTAATTTTTGATTTTTTATATAAAAATAAAAAATATATATTAATTATCATAAAATAATGAATAAAAATAAATTAAAAATAATAACTAATTCTAAATCATCAGAATCATTAAGAATTTATTTATAGCTATAGCTAAAATACTTATTGTTGATTTTCATCTAAATTTTAATAATAGCTAAATTTTTCTATATTATTTTTAAATTTTATTAATATTACTTGTATATTTATCTTTTTTTTTTAGATAATTTAATTAGATATATATGTTTTTATCTTTTTTATTATAAAAAAGTAAAAAAATCAATCTATTATTTAAAAAGTTAACTGATTAATTAATAAAATTTAATTTATATTTTAGCTTCTCTTTAACTAATTTTAATTTTAAAAATATTTTATAATATTAGTTGCAATTAAGTTTCTATTATAAAAAAATAAAAAATTAATTTATTATTTTAAAAATTAGCTAGTTGATTAATAAAATTGAATTTATATTCTTTTTATTTTTAAGATAATATTTTTGTTTATATTTTAGTAATATTTTAATAATTTGATTATAAAAAATAAAGTTTGAGTTAGATTATTTTTTAAAAAATAAAAAATTAAGTTTATTTATATAAATTTTCCTATTTATGTTAAAAATAACTCAAATAAATTAAATAATATATTAAATTAATATAAAACTTAAAATGAATCAGAAATAATTTATTAATATAATTAATGCTTTAATTATATATAAATGAGACTTAAATTAAATTGAAAACAATTTATTAATATAATAACTTAAAATAAATTAGAAATAATTTATAAATGCAATAAGATTTAAAGTAATTAATAATAATTTATCAATATAATAAAATTATAATTAATAGTTTATTATATATTAAATAAAATTTAAAGTAAATAAAAATAATTTATAAATACAATAAGACTTAAAATAAATTATAATTAATATTATAATTATGCATTAAATAAGATTTAAAATAAATCAAAAAATACTTTATTCAAAAAAATAATAAATTAAAAATAATAATTTATAAACTTAAAGAAAATTAAAAATAATACTTTTATATATTAAATTAATATAAAATTTAAAATAAATCAGAAACATTTCATCAATATATATATTAAATTAAAACAAACTTATTAAAAATAATTATAAATAATAAATTTAATTTAAAATTTTAAAAAAAAAAATTTTTAATTGTTTAACATTACTAAAAAAAAGAAAATAATAGTTCAATATTTATAAAATTATCTTTTATTTTTTAAAAAAATATAATAACTTAAATAAATTATTCTTATAAATAATTACATTTTAAACTTTTATTTTTTTAATTTATCAAATATAAAATAAACATTAGCTAAAAAGAGTTAATTTTTAGCATACAGTCAACTCTTATTATAACGAATTCTATGTCCTAAACCTCAACTTCGCTATAAGGCTATAGTGAAGATTTTAAGAGATTTGATTGGCTAATTCGCTATAATAAGAGTATTTTTATTATAT